ATCATTGAATCAACCCGACCCTCACCCAGCTTAAAGATGCTTACAATATTGGCTGTCAACTTTGAAGGGCTCTAGAGGAGGGGCAAACCTGGCGTATCTGCGTGATGTTGGCCCCGCCCTTCCCGATGATGGACCCCACGGATGCCGTTGGTACCGAAATGTGGAGCGAGCTCGTGGGACCGCCGAGGAAACCCGGCACTCCCGCCGCCCATCTGCGAAATGCGCCAACACCCCGGCTTAGCTGGGGAGCAAGGCTTTGCTGCTGCGGCGGAGCTGAAAAGAGCAGCTTCTGCATTAGACGCGCAATACGCGAATTTTCTGCATTTTGGCGCTTGCTGCCACACAAGATGGTGGCCTCACCGGTCCCCTCTGCTGCCGTGGTGAGGCGGCTCGGCATGCCCGATGTTACGCCGCTCCTCGTGCCGTGCCTGCATGGGGCACAGACAGTGCTCTGTCAAGACGGAATCCAAGTGAAAGTGGGGCGCGCTTTGATTCCAGACACACCGCAAGCGTTATGCAGTACAGGGAGCACGTTCTAAGGCCCGTGCCGAGCATCACGCCCGTACGTGGCTCTGTCTCCAAGACGCCCCTGAGCGTTCCTATATTCACCCGGGCCAAGTGGTCCTCGTCCCTGCGGCCCCTGCCCCCGTCTCTGTCGCGGGGTTCCTCGCGCCGCCGCTCGTGCACCCCGCTGCGGTCCCAGTCCCGCTCTCTCCCCCGCTCCCTCTCGCGGTCTCTGTCCCTGTCTCTGTCCCGGTCGCGATCCCTGTCTTGGCCCCTCTCCCGCTCGTGGCTGCGCCGCAGGCTCTCATACTCGGCTGCGCGGGCGCCCTCCGCCTGCTCGGCTTGCACGTACCGCTCGGAAGCCCCCCTCCCACCATCACGCTCTCGCTCGCGGTCACGCCCGGCGCCTCTGAAGGGAACAATCAAGACAGGGTATCCGTTAGAAACACTGAAAGCACCACCATTGCGCGCATAACCCACGCATCGCGTATTGCGACAAGGGTCGTAAGGGTTGCAGCAGCGCGGCCAGCGGTTCAATCGAGCTGGATCTGCCCACCTGTCCAGTGCGTGGCGCTCTCCTCGTGGCGGGGCCGCCCTGTCCCGGGGCAAGTCCCGCAGCGGGTTGGCCCGGATGCGCCCCGTCATCAGCAGCAGCGCAGCGTGGACCGAGTCAGGGGAGCCGGCCACCTGGCAGCAAAGACATGCGATGGTAAGAGGCGGAAAGGGGTGTGCAAAAGCTTTCCAATGCGATAAAGCTTTCCGGTTTCCAAGCTTCCAATCATGTTCGAAGCACGCAAGAAATGATGACAGGCAGTCCGTTCACAAAAACCTTGGGCGCTGCTCTGGCGCTGACTAGCTGAGCAGGGCGTTTGAAAGCAGTACAGGGACCAAGCAGTGGAAATGTGGACACAATGTAATCAGGCGTTCTGAATCTCATTGATGCGGCAGCGCCCAGCCTCCTGAACCAGGTCAGAGGAGGGCAGTGCGTACCTGCACAAGCTCGTCGGTGACGAGGGCGCACTTGGGGATGCTGTCGCGGGGCATGATCCGGATCTGGGCGGTGCTCTGGCGGCGCAGGTCCTGGATGATGGTGCCGCCCTTGCCCAGCAAACACCCCACCTGCACGGCCACATCCCACCAGCTCAGCCAGGCCGCTACCAACAGCCTCGATAAGGTGAGGCGAGCAGAACAATGCCGACACCGATTGCCTGTAGCTCACCGAATGCTGTTGCAAGACTTGTGCAGAGACTCTGGACCACAGAAAGTGGTCCCCTTTCTAATGATTCAGCGTGACAGAACAGAACCTTGCTGACAATTGACAGGTTGAAAGTGGTGAGCACGTGTACTGCATTGATCCCGTCATGCATCTATTTTGATGCCCTAAAACACGTGGCGCTGCTGCGGTGCGTCCTTTGTACCTGGCTGGAAGGCACCAAGAGGCGGGTGGGTGCCCCCGGCTCTGCAGCGGAGTGCAGCGCAGCCACCTGGAACAGGGCCTCCTGCGCGCCGCACAAAGAGGCGCCCTCCTCCTGCACACCAGCACAGCTCGACCGTCAGGGAAACAAGGTCAACTGGGCAAACTCTAAGAGGTCGTGGCAGAGACGAAGCGATTTGAGGCACTGAAAACAGTGACACGCAGCACAATCGGACATACTGACCTCCTCATGAGAAAAAATCTCATGAGAAGCCTTTGCCGGAGTGCACGTCTATTGATACCAGTGCGGACTTCTCCTTTTCCCTCGCTCCCATAACAATCAGATGCCAAACCCCTCATTGTCCTTTGCTTTCATCAAGAGTCAGCCTCTCCGACCCCACAATGACCACTAAGGGCCGAGCCGGCACTCTTGCGCGCCTCGCCCTATCTCACCTCGGGCCCTTGAATTTCCACCACCTGCTCCTCGCAGCCGTCCACTGGGGGCTCCACCGTGATGCGCGTCCTCGTGTCCACACGCAGCTGCTTGATGGTGGTCCCTCCCTTCCCAATCAGCGCCCCGATGCGCGCAGCTGAGAACAGGATCCGGAACAGCACGTCGCCCCCAGCTGGCACGCCTAGCGCGGCCAGCGAGAGCAGGGGCAGCGACATGGGGAGCGCGGCCATGCTGTTCTCCAGGCGGGGAAGCGAGAGGGCGGGCGGGGCAGATGTCAGCAGGGGAGGTCGGCTGGGGGCCGGCGGGGGTGGGGGCGGGAGCAGTAGGGAGGGGCCGGGGCGGCGCGGCGGGGGGCGCTGGGGGAGGTCGCGGGGGGGGAACGCACGCAGCCGTTCCGAGATGGCGCGCACAGCCTTGCGCGCGGCAGAGAGTTCCCCTGACACCTGGGAGTCGTCCAGATCAGGGGAGAAGGCTTCAGCGACAGGGGCGAGGGGCTAGCATTAACCCGATGGTGGGTCTGGGCCTTGCTCGGGTTCCCCTGGTTTGAGTGGGGTGGGGCATATTGTCAGTCAAGTCCGTTAGCCCCAACAGACCGTAGGCAAACAAGGTGGTTCATTCACAAAATGGGCCAAGGAATGTTGTCGACGAGGACGGAACAGTTCGATGTCGGAACCGCAGGGGAACGCCCTGTCACTGGGATCCTGCAGTGGTTTAAGGGGACTGCCATTGGGATCCTGCAGTAGTTTAAGGGGAACGCTCTGCCATCGGGATTCTGCAGTGGTTTTCTGAAAGGGTTTTGCGCGGGTTGGACAGTGTCCACGGGCGTATTTCGAGCGCCACCGTTTTCTTGGTTTCTGTGGCGCCCACCTGCACCATCTCGTCACTGGGCAGTGCGCAGCGTGGGACCTGGTCACCCGCCATGATCCGGATGCCGGCGCCAGACTCGTCGCGCAGCTGGTTCACAATGCTGCCACCCTTCCCGAGGAGGCACCCAATCTGGCTGCTCGGCACCAGCATGCGGAACAGCGTGGCAGTCAGGTCTAGCTCGTCGCGCGGCTCACCCTCCACAATGCGGCTGCAGCAACAAAAAGCGGATGTGAGCTGGCGTGGGAAAGGGGCCAAGGAAGCCTGAAGCAGGCCAAGGCACACTGATGCTCAATGGAAGCTTTCTTCCAATGGCCTCAACCACAAGGAAGGAGCTTTCCGAGGAAGGTTGGACCTGAGGAAGGGCAGATTGATTTCCTCTTGTAACACGTCAGGCACACATTTGTAGCAGGTTACAGGCATGAAAAAACTTGCATCAACATGGTAATGTACAAAAAAGCGCAATGCAACAAAGAAAGTTCTCCTCCTTAAACAACAAAAGTGAAGTCAAGCGGACACTATGCAAAGATGAGACCAGATTAGGAAATTGGCAGTCACTCCTGAACAGATTGAAACAGAGCAAGCCTAGGAGCCAATTTCTGTCGTCGCACAATTCTTGCTCCGAGCCTTGTACATCTCCACAAAATTGAGGCCCCTCTGCCATGCTGCTCATGCCTCGTTCGTCGGCCTGCTGATGAAGCAGGCCAAGGCACCACCCTACTGAGGGAATCACTTCTTAAGTGCGGCTCACCTGTGGATCCTGAGCAGGGCGTCCTGCGCTGGCGACGTCTCCTCCCCCGCTGCCGCTGGTGACGACACGATAATCACGCGGTGCTCAGGGTCCCCCCGGCTCTCTGCGACCACAATCTTGGCTCCCGACTCCTTGCGTATCTGCTCAATCACGTTGCCCCCCTTCCCAATCACGCCCCCCACCCTGCTACTGGGGCACAGTACCCGGAACACTGTGTCTTGACCATTTTCGGCACCGCTGGTGGCCTGCCGCTTGGCTGGCTCCTCGTCGGTTGTGTCCATCGCAGCACGCTTGCGACCTTCTGGCGGGTTGTGGTCAGAGGGCTCCGGGTCGTGGGAGAAGGAGAGGGAAGGGGACAGCAGCGGAGAGCCGGCAGAGTCGTTGAGGTCCTCGGACATTGCAGACATGGCGCGCACGCAAGCAGCACGCACAAAGGGGTGGTCCAGCGGAGGAGGGCGCCCTTGTGGGCCTGACTAGACCTGGCATACACAAGATGCGCACAATTGAGCTGACAGTCGTCCCCTGCACAAGGCAATTAGAAGACAACCAGTGCGGGCGCAGAATCCACCAACTAGCAGAAGTGAGTGCAAACCATGTCAATGACCAATCACGGTCAAAGGATCATATTTCAGACTTTGAGCCGTTCTTGATCCACAATTACCTGATTAAGCTGATTGGCGAGTTGCACAAGCTCCTCAACAAGTCGAGCAAGACACCAGCATCACCAAAAAAATCAGAACAAGTCAATTGTCAGCGCTTGGTATTTGGCAGCTCCCAGAGGACAAGAGTTGCCAAACATAAGTTGGTGGCAAAGGGTTGCGGTTGGCATCTTTGCTAGTCTAACTCGAACTTGCATGACGGCTGTCACACCTAAGCACTCCCTTGAGCAGCACGATACAAAAACCCTATGCTGAGAACAGAATTTGAAAATAAAATGTACTGCAAACTCCGCATTTTTTATCGACCATCTTCATTGAAGATGTCAGCTTTGCCAATTTGTACATAGCAATCGTCGTTTTGGGGGCTGACAAGCACTGTATTAGTGATTCCAAATCCCATCCCCTAAAATGAAATGTCATTTGCAAATGCACCATCACAGGGCCCCAAATCAGGTTTTGACCGCTAAAGAGCACGTGGCACCTCTGAAAGAGCCACGCATTCGTCGGAAAACTTTGAAAATGCTGGACAAGTATTAGCACCTGGAACATACCCTGCCAATGCATAAGGCGGCAAATTTCTCGAGCTTCTCTGCCATTGCAGGAAACGCAATTGTACAGTGGTAAGACAGGATGCAGCACAGATGGTGTCCCCAAACTCACCAGAGAATGTGTTGCCTGGGCTCTCACGAGTCAAAGATGCACGCCATGATCGCGCTCAGGCGCTCTGGCGCCAGCACTGGCAGCAGACAACTTCGTTCTTCAGCCTCAGGCTCAAAACAGTACAGGCCGGAAATCCAGCGGTGATATCGGCCGCAAAACCCTAAAATCCTGAAATCCAAACCCTGCTGATGTCAACAGTTTCTTACCGTAGAGGACAAGATTCGCGTTGATCCTAGTTTTACCTAATTTCAACACTTGAGCTTCAAGTTGGAGTCACGTAGAGGATATTCAAAATTTTGCCGCGAACGGGACTCACCGGGCAATTCATCCCCATCCGGGCAGTCGTCTAAAAGAATTCCGCGGACCTGAGCTGGTCGGAACACTGCCCTGTGGAGACGGCGGGCCAACGTGCACAGAAGGCTGTATATACCATACTACCGGTAGGTCGCACTGCACCGTGACCCAACCAACCGGGAAAGACGCCGACAAATTCGGTAGGGTTTTTAGCTGAACTTCCTGGGGCGCGGCTACCCTGATTCAGACTCGGAATTGTTTGAGGTCCCTTCCGACTTCGACGTTTCCCTCGTGCAGCGACTCGGACTCGCGCAACGTGCAGCACAGCTAGTGCCAGCGCAGTCACGCAGTGCACTACCGTAGCTAGCGCACGTTCGTCGCCGTGGGGCTTCGTAATGACCCTCGGTGCTTGGCTGCCAGCTCCAAAAGAGACACGTTGCGAAGCATAGAAAGGAGACGCAATATTGTACATCGATTTTGTTCATAGAGCCAGAGTACCTTATGCGTTCCCATCGCAGGATGGCACAGCCAGGCGGTGGACGTGCTCAAGGAACGATGGTGGTGCAAAGTATCATGTCGCTCGCCTGCCTTTGTTTGTGCACTAGTTTGAGCAATGCGACGTATGTGGCCATTAACTCCGGGGGCCCAGCGTATCAGCAGAACACTAGCGCTACGTTTGGAGTTGCCCCACCTCCCCTGGCCAATAGCACCCTGCCTGGCAGCCTGGTGTTCCAGGCGGACCACTTCTTCACGGGGGTGAACACACAGGTGAACAACTACAGTGCGCAGGCGGTGGCCAATACCTCAGACCCTACGGTGTTTTGGTCTGACAGGGAGGGCACCGTGGTGTTGTACGCTGTGAACGTGCCTGCCGGCATCTACAGCGTGTCCCTCTACTTTGCGGAGCTGGACCCAGCATTCCAGGGGAGCGGCCTGCGCACCTTTGATGTTCTGCTGCAGGGACAGCTGGTAAGGCCTGCTCTGAGTATGCCACCTCATTAAGTTTCATTTTCTTGTTGGCACTTCAAAGGCTGCCACTTTGGGTCTCCTTGCTGATCTAGATTTGCAACATGGTGTTGTTAGTCAGCGGCTCACCTTCTGTGGTATGATGGGTCCAAGTGGCGCTTCTGCGCTTGAACCAGTGGCTGAGCTACCCTTTGGGCAATATTACCTCTCAGCTCGTGTGCTGCTTCGTCAGCTTCAATGACTGTGTTTGGAGACTTTTAAACATGTCAGCTCAATCCATCAGATGCTTGCCATTCTGCTTTTACCCAACTGCCCCAGTCCCTTCACTTGCAAAGTCCTGTAGGCAGCTGGGACCACTTTGGTTACCCTGCTTACCAGCAAAAGGAAGAGGTAAACACCACGTTCGCTGGAGAGTTCAGGGGGGCGCTTTTGTTTGAGCCTGCAGCTGAGGTTGTGCTAACATCGATGGGATAAAGCGTGCTTGATGTTTCAGGAAGTGAGCATGAAGAGGAGTCCTGCTTCTGAGTATGTTTACAGGTTAAGTTGGGGTGTCCTTGACATGTCGCCTGCAGGCAAGAACCACAAGGTCATCCTAGTCAATTTTTCTGCGGACGGTTCTGTCATGACCCCCTTCCTGCAGTAGTTTCAAAGAGCAGTTGAAACATATGGACAGCTGTTACTCTATTATCTTCAACCCGAGGAGCATGAACAGGGGTTGTGTGAAGTGCCCCTCTATTTCTGGGGAGTCCCCTTGGGATGCTAATGAAAGGGACAGTTGATTAGTGAATTCTAGTTGCCAGTGTGTCGTGATTTACGTTCGCTTCTTATCATGGTCAAGTCAGATATTGCTTGATGACGAGTTGAATGTAAGTAGTCAAGTTTAGTCCCACTTCAGGCCAGGCCTAGTGTGGGCTTTGTCAATTAGCTGACTTGTTCAAGGCAATCTATGCTCCCCATGTTGCGATATGTCTCGAGAATCTACCAGGTTGTGACCCCAAAGTGGCAGCTTTTGCCCAGCTTTACTTCGTTGCAGCACTGCAGCCGCCAGGTTGTGTACTTGGTACAAACTCTCACCACTTGGCAAAAAGTGGACTTGGTTGATCAACTCGTTGTTTCATATTGGGAAGCAGTAATCTGTGATCAGCTCCGCATCTCCTTATTGTGCCCAATCCCCTCAAATTTCCAATTCCAGGCACTTCCCTGCTTTGACATCTTCAACGTCAGCGGTGGGCCCCGCGCGGCGTATGTGGCCACGCTGGCGGCCATAGTGGACACGACGCAGCTGCTCACTGTGGAGCTGCGGGCCATTACGGGCCTGGCAAAGCTGAATGCTCTGCTGGTCAACAACGGGAGTGCCGCGGCCAACCTGCGGGGAGTGGACGCCCTGCCTGCGCATCCCAGGTCCTTCGCCATCAATGCGGGCGGGGGTGCGGTTGGCAATGAGACGGGGCCCGGGCTGTTTTTGGCAGACGCGTACTATGTGGGGGGCCAAGCGGTGAACGTGAGCGGGGTGGAAGGAGCGGGGGCTGTGGCCACAGTCTTTGGAACTGCTAGAGCAGGTACGCCTGTGTTTACTCTCACGCGTACGCCTCGTGTTCCTGTCGTTCTCCGAGTGACTCCACTGAAAGCGTTTAAGGTGACAATATCCGGATTCGCCAGGTGAATCACTTGTTCATACAAGATGCGCACAGGTCTCGCAGCCTCAAACAAAAGCAAGCAGATGAGGAGAAAGTGCCCCGTTTTTGAATTTACCCGAGGAAGCATGTCATGGGAAGCTCATGCGATTGATGAGCAGAAGCGGCACTACTGCGAAATAAGTCTCGTCGAATGGACGTTCCGCCTGGTCATTGAAGCAGTTTGAACTGACCTTTAGGTCACCTTCTAATCCTGTCAGTGTTGCGAATTCGCGATTTCGTGGTACTCTCGTCCAAGATTAGAGTCTGGGAAGTTTCCTGCACGAATCCAACCTTTTTCAAGAGACAGAACAATTCTGTCTCGTAGGCTAGCCCCAGCTATTATCGGTTCGACGCTGTACCTCATGTCTTTCAGATCCATTGATACCAGCTTATATCGAAGCTCTGGAGTGAAAATGACCAATTGGCTCACTTATTTCATGCCTTTGTTGAAGAAAGAAAGGTCCATACGTCGGTTCTTTGTGGGAAAAAGCTCTTCAGCTGCTCGACATATTCCGACACCAATATCGATTGTAGGTACCTTGTTGTGGCGCGTCAGCAATCTGGGTCTGTCGAAAGCGTGCTGAAGCGTTTGAGGTGACAAACGGAGCTCACCTTTGGGATATTTGATCGCCATGTTTGTTGGATGGTCCTTTTCAAAAGTTGGAGCTTTCTTCTGGACTCGGGTACATCAAGAAAGGCTTTTCGAATCAGAGAACATTTGCAACAGCGGTGCCGTTTTCAGACTCTCGAATCTTGTTATGCTTGAGCCTTCTACATCAACGATGACAGCTTACGCCGCTTCGTGGTGTCTACAGGCCCCTTCTTCCAATACTTCCTCAACCTGCCCGCTGGCGACTATGCTGTGAGCCTGTACTTTGCGGACACCAACTCGACCGCAGCCGGCCAGCGCCTCACGGACGTCTTCTTCGACAGCGTCAAAGTCGTCACTGCTCTCGACGTCTACAACACCAGCGGCAGCAACGCGCTCGTCCTGACAAAGGCTGCCACTGTCGTGTCGGGGCTGCTTACCGTGTCTTTTGTGGGCCTCAACAACACGGCTGCCGCCGTGGCCGCCATCAAGGTCGCACCAATCAACGTCAACGCAACAATACCCGCCCTCGCCATTGACATCGGGTCACCTGTCGCCACGCTGTCCGAGACGGGCGTCCTGTATCAGCCCGACAACAGCTCGTACTACAGCCCCGGGGCCGGCGGCAACGTGACGACTGCTGCTCCCGGTGTCAACATCACGCTGGGCGGGCTGCCGGTCAACGGCTCCTTTTACTCGCCGGCGCTATTCCGGACCGCGCGCGTGGGCGCCCTCAACCTCACCATCCCGCTGCCCAACGGAGACTATCTGGTCGACCTCGAGTTTGCTGACGTCACTGGCACGTCAGCGGTGCCGCGGGTGTTCAGCGTGGTCGTCAACGGCCAGGTGGCGTTGCCCAGCCTGGCCCTGGGCGGGACCGCAACGTCTAACAGCACTGCGGCGGCAGTCGTGGAGGATTCGTTCACAGGCAACGGAACAAGTGCAGGAACGGTGGTCAAGGTCCAGGTGCGGCGCTCTTTTGTTGTGTCTGACGGTTCAACTGCAAGTTTCGATTCTGGCAGAGGTTCTACCTTCCTCTGTTCCTCGATTTGCGTGTTGTGTTGCTTGGTGACCCTCGGCATCTCTTTGTCACATGCCCGGCTCAGGACTTCTTTCCACTGTGTTGTGTGCCTCTCATTTGAACCACACGCAAGTCAAAGAAAGGCCACTTCTGACAACGGTACTTAATCTGGTGTCCTTGAACGTCCATTGTAGTTAAAGCAGTCATCAGATCGGTACCGTTCGTAGGAGATACAGGATGCGAATGCAAGTTGGAATGCAGCTGTTTAGGTTGCAATGTGTCTTTGCATAGACAGCACTTGTCTCGTCAACAGACTCATCTCGGTGGCCCCATGCAGGTCCCCGCCAACGTCACGCTCGGCAACCTGAGCCTGGCGCTGCTCCCCGTCAGCGGCGGCCCGCCCCTGCTCAGCGCGCTCTACGTGCACCCCGACATCCCCAACCGCGCCTACGTCACCCCGCTGCCGCTCCTGCCCGCCGCCGCGCCCAGCCCCGCCAACCTTACCCCCACCCCAACCCCCACTCCGACACCGACGCCCACTCCGACACCGACGCCCACTCCCACTCCCACTCCCACACCCACCCCCACGCCGACGCCCACAAGTAGGCCCCTTCACTCTCTTCTCTCGACATTCCGTACAGTCCGTCTGAAGTCATTTTCAAGCTGCCTGGCCCTAGACAAGAAGGAGCGCGCGGCAATCAGCGAGCTGACGCTGACTTTCTGTGGCCGATACGGGAACGAGCCGTAGGACCGAGGAGCCGTTGGACTTGATCATTGTCGTCCTGATGGCATGCTCGTATTTGAAAGTCTACTGCATCAGCGCACATGGTCCTGCTTACTGAGCTAAGTTCGCACTCCAGAGAGCAACAGCGTGGTGTGTCGGGGCTCTGGTCGGCCTTTCCAACCGGCGCCCTCGAGGCGTCTCTGCAGAGGTACTGACGGGCCTCTTGCTCAGTGTCAAGGGCTCGTGCACCGTTCCAGGGCGGCAGCCTTACGATCGGCGTTCTCTGAACCCTTCGGCAAGTCCGTCGTTCTTGTTCTGTCCACCGTCCTCCGAGTTGCGACCAGCTTCATCAGCTCGCTGACGCAAATTGCCACTTGCAAGGCAGCCCTCTCGCAAATCTTCCCGAGTGTAGATCAGCTTTGACACCTCCTCTGGCCAATTATCCAACCGGCTTTCGTGTGTGAGGGGACGGGGTGTGTCAGTCCGCTGAGTCGCGAGTGGCCTGCAGGTCCCCCCCAAACAGCGCCTGCCCCCGCGCCCGCCACCCCGACCCCGACTCCGACCAGCACTCCCCCAGCACCAGCTCCGTCACCCGCTCGTGAGGCCGAGAGTCCATCAAATTCTCAAAACACTGATCTTTTTCCTTGATCCAGGAGCAGTTCGGCTCGTTCGGGCACACCGCACATGAAGACGAGACATTTGACATGTTGATTGCTCAGGCAAAAGTCTGTCTGTGCATCCTTGACGTATTGAGCTTGCGCATGGGCGAGATAAGGAAGCCAGACCGTCACGAACCACTATGTGGAGGCATGCCAGTCTCCAAACTTGGTGTTTTAGGCGAACTCCGGCAGATATGTCTCTCATGCACTCACACCGCACAGCGTCACCGCACAATTCTGAGCTGTGCGCCACATGGCACCCGTCAACTCGTTGGCCGATCACCCCTCGCATGTTCGCACGTACTTTTCACCAATTCAGGAGGTGGCAGACACACTACACAACCCTGCAGCCACACAGCATCATTCACTCACTCTGTGCTGTACTCGTTGTACCCTGTTCGTGCCCACTAGGAGCCGTACACCACACGCCATACACCCACCACAGGCTTGGGCGCCCACATATGCTCCTGGAAGCACTGTTGGCTCATGTGGAGTTCCTGGAACATAATCTTGGTTCCGCCTTTCTCCAGCTTCGTCCGCGCCTGCTCCCTCGCCCGCCCCCGCTTCGACCTCCCCTCCGCCGGCAGCCGCCAGTGGCCCCACCACCAATGCTGCCGGGGTCTGTGCCAGCAACGGGGGCCTCCAAGGAATCGACTGCTCCGGTGAGGCCCAATCGAACTTCTTCCTTTTTGCCATGGCAAAAATTTCTAATTGGTATCAGTCCCCCTCTTGGATAAGTACGATCTTCAGTCTGAACCTTTTGAGGCAGTGTTGCGGCGGTGCAGCAGTGGGCATTCTCGCCAAGCAAGGAATAGGAAGATAGGGCCTCGTTAGAAGAATCTTCGAGGGTTTCGCGTGGATTGCAACGTTCGCAGATGACTCAGCCCTGACCCTATCAAAGGAGGAAGTATATGGCGATCTCAACCATCCGTGCTCGTGCTTTACTGGCCCCAGCGAGCTAGCAGACCACTGTTCTGAGCTGCTTTTTGTGGCGTTGCTGAGCTTCGAGTAGCTCGCCTCAACGGTTCTGTATCAGCTGCCTTCTGTCTACGATCTCTCCTGCGTCGAGGGAGCTTGCGATGCCCCCAGTGAGCCAGTTTGCGCCGCTGACGTGCGTCCCCCTACTCAGGTGGCTGCTCCACATACAGTGCGTCCAACTCGGTGGCGGTCAACTGCGGCGGCAACAGCTACCAGTCGACGTGCGGCGTGCAGTTTCTGGCGGACGAGACGGCGTGCGACCCGGGTGACGTCATCCCGGCCGGGTCGCCCTACTGCCGCACCAACATCAAGGGGCCCGAGTTCGGCTACTTCTACCCCACCGACCGCACCGTCGCCGGCACCGCCGACTCCACCATCTTCCAGGTCAGCCGGGCGCACAGTACATCAATACGTGTTTGACAGCGCAGAGCAGCGGTTGATTAAGCACGCGAGAAGTCTGCTTCGAGCGTCAGGAAGAGCGCTGCATTTTGGGGCCACATTCAGCAGTGGATATTGCGATTGTTGCCCCTTTGAGATATGGAAAACGCTGTAACCTGCCAGACGCTTCCCTCCGTTGTGAGCTGTCAGTACTTTTACCCGGGGTCGGCACCCAGTCTATTCCGAGTCCCCAGCTGCGCAATTGATCCTCCTGTGTAAATATCGGACGGCAGGATGCGCTCGATTCCGCTTACACTGTGTTCAAACATCTGAAGCATTTGCATGGTCTTAGTCGCCGCTCTCTTTCAAGGCGAAATCACCTCCTGTTAATTTCATTTGCCGCCGCTCGCTTTTTCACCCGCTCATCACGGTGCCCCCACTCCGGTGCGTGTTGTGCAGAGCGAGCGCATCGGTTTCAACACGTACAAGTTCCGCGTGGACAACGGGGTGTACTCGGTGGCGGTGTACCTCGCGGAGATCTCGAGCGACGACCCGTCCATCAACGTCAACGCGGAGGGCCTGCGCCGCTTCACGCTCATCTTCAACGACGAACCCAACTCGCCGCTCCAGAACCTGGACCCCTTCAAAGTGAGCCCGCGCCGCCAGGCTGGCATCAATGAGCAACTCCCACCAGGAGCATCCCCCCGCGCCAGTCATTGGGCGATGACCTCAGCTGAATAAGATTTGCATCTGGTCATGTCATTTGTGCCTCGAAGCAGCGCGCAAGTGCGGATGCTTCTTCCTCAGCGTGTTGAGAGGTTGTCAATCTGCCATCTGCCCCTCCGAATGTCAATGAGAGGTCTTTGTCGCCACAACGTCATGTTTAGATTTGTTAATGGCGATCGGCACTTCGGCGACGTTCTAACTCTGTGCACTGTCTTATGCTTGCAGCTGGCTGGGGATCGAAAGTTCGTAGCATGCCCTGTGCAAACGGCGCAAATCACTGTAACCAGCGGAGTACTGAAGATGCAACTCTTCCCCACCGGAATACGAGATGCACCAGCTATCAAGGGTGTTTGGGTCCACAAGATCGGGTAGTACTACCGGGGTGTTTGAGGTCTTGTACCATTTGAGCTTTGAGTCTAATTTATTCAGTGACTAAATGATGGGCGTATGAAGAAGTGAGCTTTTGACCAGTTGCAAACGAAGTTGATTGAGTATATTTCAGTAATCTTATGAGGGAGTTCGTAATGAGACGGCTTCCGTCACTGTAGCAATGTTTCGTTGAGTTAGCTAGCCTGAGATCCGGTGTGTGTGCTTTAGTAGTGCGCTTGTGTGTCCCTACTTTGATGGGAGTAAGTTAGACGACAGCTTTCCATATAGAAGAAGCCTGTGCAGCGTTTGCTTGTGAGAAACTCTTAAATAACTGCCTGCCCTCAATGTCGCATGTCAAGATACAAACACACACCGTTTGTAACGCAGATTTTGCATCGTAATGCAGATTACGCAAGAGTCAATGTAACTTGGCCTGAAAACACTGTGATTGGACAGCTTGAGTAAGCTGGTAGGTGTCGAATCAATCACTGACTGAATCGACTTGCATGCATAACATCATTTTTGATATGGTAACTTGGTTAGAGTGACAAATTATATGCCGTACGTAATGGAGGGTTTTAGGTTCCTAAATCCAAAAGCCTTGCATCCGATCATCTTAGTACCCGGCTCGATCTAGGCTAGCCAGGCTAGAACCGTCAGCCTACTAAGGTAGGAACATGAAGCTAGCCTGGGGTTCAACGGTTCATTGTTCATGCAATTGAACCCATATACCGAGAGAGCGCTGGGATCTTGCCAGGCTGGGCAACTATGTAATTATATACGATTGCAAACAAGAAGCGCTTGAAATAGCCGTACCGCGTGTAACTTAATATATCGGGGCTCGGTATAGTGTATGTGCAAACCTTGACAGGTCATGCCAGCGCATGCATGTCAATAAAGGAGGCATGCATCAATTATAGTAAGCTAAACCGTCGATCTTATAAGGCGGCCTACTAACTTCGTTAAGTTAGCTTGAAGCTATGATCGTAGAGGCGCCGGGCCCAAATGTTATGCAATATCTCTGCGAATTAATTCGATCCATGCACCTCGAGGTCATGGAATGAAATTTGATCATATATCGATCACTAGTGAAAACATGAGTTTAGGGCACGTTTTAAGCAATCACTGGAGTGTGTCTTTTGCCAATCTTACGCATCATGTTGAGTTTGCAATGCTCGATCCGCGGCGCGATTTGACGCTCGGTGCGCACTTTTCCGACCACAGTTTTTGCATGCGACTTCATCGCAATGAATGAGTCACCGTGACTCATTCATTGCACCGAGGCCCCCGTGTCACTAACTAATTCAATGCCGCCTGGGAGGCACTGCAACATCAGCTGACGCGATCCGGTCTAGATCGCGGATCAACCAGGCAGTTGCTGGAGAACTACTAGTAAATGAAGTGCGCGAAAATTGCATGAAACAATATATACGATCGGACGCATACTTATGAAGGTATACGAATGGAACAAGTGAAGTACGTTCTAAAGGAAACGTACTTGCATGAATTAAACGATATTCAATCGAATATGGCACATATGATCGAACCCAAATTAAGCCCAATCGGGTATTTATTTTACCCGCGTTCAAATGGTCTACAATGAAATAAGGAATAGCCATTCGAGATCATAGTAGCCGCTATAGTGGGCTGAACCTAGAATGGCTCAGCATGCTATTGATCAGTCACGTATAGCCAGTGGGGCCTAAAATCCTTACTGTACATGTGGACGAAACTAAACCCTATCTGGGATGCATGTGGGCCACGGCCATTTTAATCCCGTCATGAAATGGTAATGATGTTTGCGTATTACCAAAGAAAATCGTTATAAATGAAACTATGAGATATATGCGTGTAGATACTATGATATAGGGTTTTAGGGTTTTAGGTTTTTAGGGTTTTAAAGGCTTTAGGGTTTTAGGGTTTTAGGGTTTTAGGGTTTTAGGGTTTTAGGGTTTTAGGGTTTTAGG